GACACCCCATCAGAGACCTCAGGGGCCCCCAGGTACAAAGAAACAAAGGGCAGGCATGAATGAATAGGTGGAGGAGCCACACAGTAACCCTCTGATGAAACGAATTCCTCCTCTGCTCTCTGAGCCCGAGTTTGATGAGTGTGATAAAGTGGGACCATTCAGCACAGGGAGGGTTTAAAAAGGGTCTCCATGTTGAAAAAAGCTTTCCCACCCTCCCCGTCTTCCTGTCTGAATGGCCTAACCCACATGGTTCACGGAGTGCCCTCCCCCCATGTGTATGTTGTCTTTTCCTAATATAGCGCAGAGTTATCCGGCTGCACGGCCGTAGGACTCTGGTGTTGGATGGCACCCGGCCTGTGCGTGTTTCTGGAACAGCTTTCATCAGAAAGACTTCACTCCTTCGGTCTGCACAGCCCTCAGAATGAATGGCACAGTGAATGTGAGCGATGAGCGTACTCCTCATGACTTCATGTTTACGTCCGAATCTGTGGGAGAGGGACATCCTGGTGAGTAGAGGAGTTCTGCTCATCATGAGAGAAACTGCTTTGAGCGCTTCAGTGATCATTGATGATTTTGAGGAATGCGCAGAAGCCTGATCGGTGCTGCATAAAGTCTACTTTCGTGGAGCCGCACGGTGCTGATTTGCAGAGGATGAATCCTGGACTGAGAAAACGTCCACTTTAGTTCCAATATAAGCAGAACTTGTGTTTTAAGCTGAACCAACATCTGATGAGTCACTTTTTTGTCATGAATAATTTTTACATCTGCAGCTGCTGCTGGAGCCATTTTTGTGGTGCAGACGTGTGACGTATGTTCTGTTAGGAAAAATGTGTCTTCAGCATAATATAAATTATGTCATTTATAAAGTAAATAGTGCAGCTTTGCATCTTTTCTTTAATTTTCTAACAAGTGCATGTTTAATGCACTGCAGATGTTTAGCTTAATCCCACCAGGAAGTGGTTGAAGAACCGATTTAACCTCATCACACTTTGCATTGTTACAATTCTGCAGAACGCAACATGTGAGCATCATGTAAAATAATCAGGATAATATTTTGGCTGATGTGTAAAAATGGTGCTGGTTCACAGATAATCCCTTATATCAGGTGAGTTTTGAAGACGTGTGCAGTGAAAGTGTCAGCAAATATAATTCATTTAAAATTACACATAAACATGTGGTTTAAATGTAAATGTGTAGTTAAAACAGACTTTACAGATGGGGAAAATCCATGTTTGTAATTTTAAAAGTTTCACCAAAAATAAGCTGATAATATAATATTTCTACATTTTTAAGGGTGATGTAAAAAAATGTCCATCATAAAGCAGGAGAGTAAATTGAAGTGCCCTGAGTGCTGATACAGTTTGTGAGTGCTTTGATGATGGAGTTAGAGTGTACCGTGTCACGCTGGGGTGTATTCACCAAATCGAGGCTATTCATAGTCCTGTAACTGCCAGAGGGAACGGGGTGATATTTTTGGGCTCTGCCCAGATCAGGAATCTGGCATGTGCAGTAAAACGATCGCACGAGAGACCGAACCAGCACACATGCAGATATTTATGCCTTTTAGACTTCTCCTTATTCTATTTTTTCCGGATAAGATATGTGACCAGATCAGTGATGCTGTGCTGGACGCTCACCTGAGGCAAGACCCTGATGCTAAAGTGGCTTGTGGTGAGTTTGAGTTTTTGTCCACTAGAGGGAAGCAACACACAAGGAAGAGGGACATTTAAGATGGATGCAAATGGTAATAGTTTCCATGACATTGGTTAAGTGAGACATTAAAAAAGGAGGGTGGGTTGCAAACAGGCTTGCATTTTCTTTTGACTGTAGTGAAAACAAATTGCCCATCAGAATATGTCATGTAATAAATGCAGGTGTGATAAGATAAAGCTTCCCACGCCTCAGCATCTTTTGTTTGTATTTCTTTAAATTCTATGTCTATTTTTAGTTTAT